CTTAATTGTTAAGGAATATTATTTGACTTTCTTCTTGTCTGTTGACTAATTCCTGTCTTGGAGAAAGGTTCCTGAGCTATCCTAAGAGCTAACATCCCCTGCATGCTTCTTGAGTGTCCTTTGTGTCACGCCATGTGATGTCATCTACTTCTGGGAACCACTTTGTGAGTCCCCATTTTTAGATAACAGGCTTGGAAGTGTTCAAAGGCCCTTGTACTCGCTCAATGACAAAACACACGTCCGGGCAGAACCCGGGCCACGAGGCCGCCGTTGGCGACCTTTGCTGGTGACAAGGATGCCCGGGACAGAGATCTGGGGAGCCCTGGAGCGGAGGCCCGGCCGCGGAGAAAGCCGGGACGCTTTCCGGGAGGTGCAGGTCGGGTAGGAAAGTCGCCAGGAGTCCACGCAGACCGGGGGCGGCGGGCGACCCGCGCTCCTCCTCAGCACGAGGCTTCCGGCCCGCCCTGCTCCAGGGCGGAGGCCGGTGCGCAGGCCCCGCGGTCCCTGGGGACGGCCAGGCGGGGAGAGGCGGGTCCCGGCCGTCGGAGCTCGTGCGCGCGACGCCCTGGGCGCCGCGGGGCCGTCCCTCCCCGCCGCGGCGCGGCGCTGTGCGGGCCGGCGGTTGTCGCGGCCGTTGGGCGCCCCGCCCCACGGGGTCTCCGGACGCCTCGAGGCGGCGCGGGCGGGGCGGGAGGCGCAGGGCCAGGCGGGCGGCAGCAGCGGGCGCGGAGCTGAGCGGGGCCGGCCGTGCGCGCCCCGGGGCCCCGCGAAGATGCTCGAGGTCCTGGTGCTGAAGGTGGGCGGGCGCCGCGCGGTCCGCGCCGGGGACGCGGGTCGGGACCCGGGGCGGGGGTCGCGCGAGACGCCGGGGCCTCAGTTTCACAGAAGCAGCGAGAAAGTTCCCCGAAGCGTGTCGCGGGCGCTGTTTGGGACGCACTGGGCGTGATAAATCGGTGTCTCTCCGAAATTCAGGGGGAGCCGCGGCTACCTCAGCGGGAGGGACGGCCCGGGGCGCCCTGTCCCCGCCGGGGCCGCGGTTCCTCGGGCTGGACCCCCACCCGCCCCCGGGTCTCTGTCTCCCCCGCGCCCCTCGCCGCGGGGCTCCTGGTCCCCCGACTTCGCGTGCGGGTGGCTGGACCCGCACGGGCCCGACGAGGCCCGTCCTGGCCCGGCCACGCTGCCTTTCGGTCCCCGAGTCGTGCGTGCCGGTGCTGGGGACCGGGACGGTGTCACCGCAGGGAGGCGTTTTACAAACTGGAGCAGAGGGGCGGGTTTCGGTGTTTGGAAAAAGGAACTAGAAATCGCTTTGGAACTCGTACTTCAGTGGTCAGAGGAGAGAGATGGAGCAAATGGTAGGATTTTTACAACCGCCAATTTTCCCACCGCTATAGGACTTGCCCTGAGAGTTTTGGGGTTTTGGACCCAGATGGCAAGGTCCTCCCGGCTCAGATGTTGCGCGTCGGCGCTAACGATGCTCATGTGATTTCTCTTGTTACCAAGACAGGGCTGCCTGGCACGTGCCCGTCCACTGGGGCAGAACTTGGACAGGACGAGCGGGACTGGCTGCCACCTGCTTGGGAGCCCCGAGTTCTCAGCCGGGCCCAGAAACCCTTTATTACCCCCCACCTCTGGCTCTCACTCAGCTCACCCTCTGAGCAAATTTTCTATCCCATATAGGAGCATTTCTCCAAGACGGTACAGGTGCCAGCTGTAGTCCTCAATATTAATTTAAGTTTTACAAGGATTAAATGTTTTTCCCCCAAATATTCATAGGTGACGGAGTAACCAAAATGTGGTATGCATATATACGATGGAATATTATTTAGCCTTAAATAGCTGAGAAATCTTTGCCTGACTTACAGTCCTAAAGATTTGCCTTATATGTTCTTTTAGAAATTTTAATAATTTACATTTAGATATGTGATCTGAGATTTTGTGTGTGGTACAAGGAATGAGTGGAGGTGCATCGTTTTGCACGCGGCTATCTAGTTGTTCCAGCAGGATGTGTTGGAAAGACTGTCCTCTCTCCATCGACTTGCCTTTGTGCAAAATCGGTTGACCTTGTATGTGAGAGTCTATTCCTGTCGTATTGATCGATGTGTGGCCGTGATTACTGTAGCTTTAGAGTTAAGGCTAGAGGTCAGATAGTGTGAGTCTCCCAGCTGTTCCTCGTTTTCAGAATTATCTCGGCTATTCTAGTTCTCTAGCTTTTCTAATCAGAATTTCGTAATTAGCTTGTTGATGTCTACAAAATAACCAGCTGAAATGGAGTTGTATTTGTAGATCAGGTCAGAGAAAATCAACATCTTAATCTAGGAATGCAGTATATCTTTGTTTTTTTTAGTGATCATCTTTGATTTCTATCAGTGTTTTGTACCTTTCAATATAGGAATTTTGCACCTATTTTTTAGGTTTATTATACCTAAGTAATTCCTGATTTTTGGTGCTGTGGCAAATGGTACTGTTTTTTAAATTTAAATTTCCAATTTCCCTTGATGGAGTATAGTAGAGTAGTACAGTTGAATTTTTTTATGACCTTGTAGCCTGTAGCCTTGTAAGGTCACTTAGTTCCAGTATATATTTATTTTTTATTGTGGTAAAATACATATAAAATTT